TTTGAACCTAAATAAGCGGTTGCCATGAAAGAGCTGACCTCTTGTTTGTGCAGGCTGTGCCAAGTCCTGAGCTCAGGCCTGTGGTCTTCTCCAGGAATTGTCCCCTGCTTGTGAGAGAGACCGCTTCGTTCTCCGCATTCTCTCTCCGTGATCACATAGCCCTTCTGAGCACTGCCTTCAGCTCTGGGGTCTCCAACACAAGAAGAACATGGAGCTGCTGGAGCAGATCCAGAGGAGGCCACGAAGATGATCCGAGGGCTGGAACACCTCTGCTATGGAGACAGGCTGGGAGAGTTGGGGCTGTTCAGCCTGGAGAAGAGAAGGCTCCGGGGTGATCTTATTGCAGCCTTCCAGTACTTAAAGGGGGCCTACAGGAAAGCTGGAGAGGGGCTTTTTACAAGGGTGTGTAGTGATAGGACAAGGGGCAATGGATTTAAACTGAAGGAGGGGAGATTTAGATGAGATATAAGGAAGAAATTCTTCACTCTGAGGGTGGTGAGGCACTGGAACAGGTTGCCCAGAGAAGCTGTGGCTGCCCCATCCCTGGAAGTGTTCAAGGCCAGGTTGGATGAGGCTTTGGGCAACCTGGTGTAGTGGAGGGTGTCCCTGCTCATGGCAGGGGTGTTGGAACTGGATGATCTTTGAGGTCCCTTCCAACCCAAACCATTCTATTCTATGATTCTATGATTCTGCTTTGCCGGGACAGATATTTGTCCAATGCTTCTCTTATTTCATATGATAAACCCAGGAAGACAGGAGAAAAACTGTTTTGTTGCCATCCCACTTCCTACAGCCCTAGAGGGGACTCTAACAGATCTTGCTCCTGGCTCACCTTGCTTGCTGCATCTCCCACCCATCTCTTGCTGCAGAGCCCTCATCAGCTCGGGCAGAGAGCGAGCCGTCTCTCCGGGATTGACTCATGCCTTTGGATATGTGATGCCACAGGAGCAACTTCTGGCTTCTAATCCCTGCTGCGTGGTGACGCAGGTGCGAGTAACACACGGACAGAACTGAGCTCTCGTAGGAAGATGATGTATTTATAAAAGGCGGGTGAGAATCAGCATATCCCCCAGCTCGAACAGAGGGTGGCCCAGGAGTCGTCTTGAAGGCACAGAGCCGCTTTAAGGCAGAAAAGTCAAAGGTACAATTCAGATTTTTAACACAAGGCATCGGTGTCCAGAAAACAATCAAAGTCAGACATTTGTAGGCAACGAGAAGAGGCGAGATGTTCATACCAGGCAAACATTAAAGACAATGACAAAAAAAAAGTCACATTCTAATTTTCACACAATACATTTCTCTCCGAATAAAAGCCAGCCCTCCTTAGTTCCCTTCGCTGGTCTGCAAAACAAGCCTCAGCCCCACAAGTCACCCTCCTGGAGGCAGAGTTGGCATTTGTGGGCAGAGCTTATGGGCCCCGGGGCCCCAGCCTGGCCACAGAGACCCAGGGAAGGTCTATTCTGCAGCATGGCCCACCATCTCCCCAGCCAGAGCCGCGGCAGGTCTCTCCTGCCTGATGCATGGCAAATCCCACGCAACCGATTTCCTTCCAGAAACATGGGGCAAAGTCCACCGCAAACTCTGGCACAGCTTCCTAAAAAATTCCCTGCAATAGAAACGAGATGGACTTTTGGGGGAGTCAGTTTCTCGGCCGTGGTGTAACCAGTTCCCTCTCGCTCTCCAGGAGCTGTGCCAGACCCAGACCAGGAGGCTTGCCACACTAGTCACGGGGCAAACCGACTGCAGATCTGGGAGCGCGGTGGTGTGGCCACCACCCTGGCTGGCCGTGTGGCTTCAACTGCACGGCCGTGGAACCACCTGCTGCTGCCGTGCTCCCTGCTCTCCCCCTCTTCGTCACTGTTTGGGGAGAAAAACTGCAGGTCGTTTTGGAAGAGGGGCAGCAGCCTCAGAGCAAAATCCGGTGCCATTCCCGCAAGATTTGCTGCGGGCCAGCTAGCCAGGGAGCTGGTAGCCTTTTCTCTCCCTACAACCTGCAGCGGTTTCTGAGCATGTGGGCTGGAAGACAGCTTTTGTCCCCCTGGGCTCTCTCCAAGCTCCTCCACAGAGGCTGCCAACTAGTGCCAATTAGTATTAATCACATTTACTACTGCAATGCTTAAATACCAACTAAGAACGGGCACTGTGCTAGAAAGGGAAGAGCATTTGTGATGGCAACCTTGACAGCAGGCATACTGGCCATCAGGAAACTGGACTGAAACCCACTGACTCCTTACATCTCCTCCGAGGAGTCCTCAGGAGGTAAAGAATTCTGCTCACCGCTGGCCTGGGTTACAAGGCGTGAAGGAAGGAGCACAGTCACAGCTGAAACATGGGCGCGAAATCCTCAAATTCTGCTGGAGTGAGGGCTGCACGCTGCTTCCCAGCCCACTCCTTGCTGACTGTCCTCTCTGGTGAGGAAGAGGAGTTACTCGTATCATTGAAGCCAAGCGAGTTACCTTCCGGATGCACCTAATTCCTGCCAGCGTCTGCAGAGGAACCCCAGCTGCTATCTTTGGGTGCTGCAGACCACATCTAAGGCAGATGTGAAAGCCCACAGCACAAAAACCCTTCCTCCCTGCACACGATGTAAGGTCCAGCGCCGAATCCATCAGTTCTCCATCTGCAAAACGGGCATCGCGCCATTTTCCGCTTGACGGGGCCAAAGAGCCGGGTCCTCGCCACGTCCTGGTGCTCGCCTTCCCCACCAGCCTCTCCCCATTCCACAGGGATTGCGTGACAGAGCCAGCCCGGGCAGGCTGCGGAGGCGAAGTCCCGGAGCCTGGAGAGCAGCTCACCTGCACGCTGTGCCTGTGTTCGAGCAAAGCACAGGCTCCGACACGCACCGGGAGCGCGACTGACACTGCACATTCCAGGCGGAAACGGAGCGGATTGCACCATCACAGGGCTCTGCCCTCCTAAACTCCTATAATACATTAAAAAAAAATAATAGCGTTGGCTGTTGCCAGCCTCTTTCCTCTTGCCCCAACTGCAGTGTTTTATTTTTTAATCTCTACACAGAAAAAATACTTTCCCTCAGGAAAAAGACAGCTCCGGCTCAGGCGGAAGGCTACGGCCGCCTCTTCTAGGATATTCCGTGTCCGCATTCCGGCAGAGGCTCTGCAGACTCGGAGGCACGGCCACCTCTTGCCCACTTCTCGCCGTGGCTGCTCACTGCTCAGCGAAACTTTCCGAAATCCGGCTGACTTTTGCCGACTCCGGCAGCCACCAACCCCAGACGGCGGCGAGCAGGCGGTTCGACAAGGTTTCGACCGTGCGCGCCAGAACTCGCGCTTTGCTGCTCCAACAGTGGAACGTGATGGACGTGCCAAGCACCACAGAATCCGTAATAAATAAATAAATGCCTCTTCTGAATCGGCACCCGCTCCACCAGCGTACAAAGCAAACAACTGCAGTACCATGCCAGCACTGCCGGGACCCTCCGTACCTCCGTTACGAACTTCCCAACAGCTCCCCACGCAGCATCCTATGTCCCACTCTCCCCTGAAGTGTTCAAGGCCAGGTTGGATGAGTCTTTGGGCAACCTGGTGTAGTGGAAGGGGGTCCCTGCCCGTGGCAGAGGGGGTGGGACTGGGTGAGCTTTTAGGGCCCTTCCAACCCAAACCATTCTGTGATTCTATGAAGCTTGAGACCAGTATCAGCCTTTTCAGCATGGCATGGGGACACTGAAGCTCTAGTGTAGAGCACTGAGTGTGCTGGGATTTCTGGGTTAAAATGGGTAGAGGGGTAAAAAATCTTGCCTTCCGTTAACGGGAGTTTTAGGGGATAAGAATTCCCTGTAGCATCAGGCTGGCTGTGGACGGGGACTCTTCCCACAGTTCTTGGATCAATGTCAGCATGGGTCTACCCATCCCTTTTATCCGCTTAACCCTCTTCTGTCCCCGCTGTTCTTTGCACCCAGTGCACGTGCCAAGGCCTGAGGCCACCGCCTCCATCCCGGGCCAGAGCTCCCAGGGCTGTTCCAGAGATGAAACACCTACAGCTGTGCCAGTTCTTCAACCAAAGAACTTCACATGAAAGTCAAACTATGACAAGACATAACTGTGAGGCCATAACTTATTAAATTAACCTTTAGATGCTGCACAAATGTACAGGATTTAGAGAGCAGAATACTCTGTCTCCTCTTTTTCCAACAAAATTACAATATTTCAACTAATAAAATATTGCCACTTCTTCCCTGCTAGGGTTTCCCTGATATCATTAGGACAAACACACGTCTGTCAGATAAGGCTGCGAAGTTCCTCCTGAGATGCCCTCCTACCTCCTCTGCACAAACCCTCCACTATCCTCAAGCAGTGGATCAATAATTGAGGTGGAGTTTTAACATCAACCCCACCACCTCGCCCAGCTGCAGGCAAACATGGCCTTCACAAGGGAAGTGTACTTCCATCTCCATCCATGGCCCATAATTTGCTGAATACGAGCACAGCTTTTCATAATGACTAAAGTGAAAAGCACAGAGAAACATCTAAGCACCAGCAGCCTAAAGTGCCTATCAGCTCCTCCACATCCAGATCTCCTTACGTCAGCACATGGGCACGTGGACACAATACAGTTCAGAGAACTTACTTTGGTCCCCTGTCCAAAAGCATGGATATTGGAGAGAAGGGGAAGGAGGGGAAATGGGGAGGGTTGTTTTTTTTCTCTGTTTTCATTCAAGTATTGAAAGAGGAGCTGCGTTACTCTAAATAAACCATTCAGGCCGTAGCTGGGATTTGTGTTTGTTTGGTTTGCACCACGCAAGACTCAACGGGAAATATGGCACCTCTCCCACTGTACCATCCGTCAGACTGCACGGCAGGAAATACGAGTCCTTCACTTGTTGACATCTCCCCACACGCCTTCCCAGCAAGACATGGATCTCACGTCTTGGATACAACGGCTCACAAGAGAAGAAGCTCCTGCTCCCCTCGCCTGTCTGTCCCTTCCTTGGCTGTGCCGTCCCATCGGAGGGCTCTGGAGGCAGAGGAAGAGTTTGTGTGCTCGGCTGTGTGCCTCAATAAAGTGCACATGGAGACAAGACGGTGGACGGTGCTGCCGAGCAGCTTTGGGGTTGAAGGCTACAATGTCTTCAGCTGGCGCCGGTTCCACATGCCCCGCTTCGAGTGAAACCAGTGGAAAAAGTTCCTCAGGGAGAGACGCTCCACTTCCAGCCCAGCCTGCAAGATCCTGACAGAAAGGAGAAGGTTAAATTTAGGGAAAACTTGATCACGAAGATGCTGGGGGGCTCAGCCCCAGGAGATCTCTTTTAAGTTGTCCTATTGTCAAGAGCCTGCAACCAAACTGAAGAGTCCAGAATAGCTCAAAGGTATCTCGTATCCATAAGCAAGCATCCAATGACACTTGCTGAGTGTTTCTGCACCCCTGGGAGCAGGACTGGCCAGGAGCGGGCTGCACAAGCCAGGCAGGGAGGAAAGACAGCTGGCAACATGGGATTGCCCAGGGTGCTACTCTTTTCTGCAGTCATCTGACAGAAAACACAGGAGAGGTCCCAAAACCTAGACCTACAAACCCAGAAGCCTGGGATTGGTACAGCAGATACCCCTCATCATGAACTTCTCAGAAGCTGTAACTGTACCTCGTGATCTTTAAATGCCTCTCTGACAGTTGCTCTTTGGGCAATTGCTATACGTAGTACGGGAGGTCTGAGGGACCTGAACTGGACCTACTGTGCACTGCAGCACTGCTTGAAGAGGATAAAGTCTTCACCATCACCAGTGCCTGATCTGCCCATGGCCAACCAGTAGCATGGCTGAAAGGCACCAGGAAACAGCTCCTCTCTTCTTTTATCAGTGGCTGTAGTAGTGTAGTTTGGGTCCATGTGCCTACTAGGTTTGAGGTCAGGACGTGCTCAAAAGCTCTCTCTCACTGGCCAAGCTTACGGTGGCATTAGCCACCTCAGTCTCCTCAGATCCCCACTCCCCTGGTCATTGGTCCTCCAGGATCTAACAGGTCTCCCCTCCTGAGCACATGAACGATGACAATGAATGCCTACCTGTCCAGGAGTTCCCAGTCCTCTCCTCCCCAGCGGTCCCGAAACTCTTTTGTGTTCATGCCTCCGATCTTGTCCAGGTCAGACTTGTATATGCCCAGGAGACCAAACCCATTCACCTCCCAGTAGCCTGAGGACAGCACAAAAGAGGCACAGGCATGTTAGTGCTTTGAACCACTGATGACTCCAGCAGGGCTGCTGGAGTGACACTCAAGCTGCTTTTAGCACAATGTTGACACCAGAGAGCCAACTCAGCACCAAGGTAGAGCCAACCACATTAAAGCTTTGGGAAGTGAGCAGGGCTTGCAGACAGATGGCGTGGGCTGCCCTATGAACTTGTCAGCAGAGCCTCTCACATCTTCTGTCTGGTAGCGTAGTACCTAAGGTACTTGGACTGTCCTCGCTTCAAGGGGTTGTTCCCGTGCCTCGATGAAAAAATGAAAAAATGCCTCCTCCTAGGGAATTTGCTCCTCTAGGGGCTCAGGATGGCCACCTCTGTTTAAAGGAAATCCTGCTCTCAGATGATCTGTGCCACTTTCCTCCCCCTGACTTGGGTTGGTATCTCTCACCACTGCGCTCACCTCAGGACAGACTGTGTCCCCTAAGAAATGGGAGAAATGGACAGAAAGGAGTAAAGAAAGGGTTTTCTGAGGTCCTCAAATCCCCAGAGAGCCCTAGGAAATGACCAGAAGAAACGTCATATAAAGGGCTCTGCTGGCAGTTTGATCTCAAATTCCAAGAACCTGACGCTGTCAAACCCCATCCTACATCTAATGCACTCTTATCTAGTGGCCCTGGTATGCTCCAGACCTTAATTGCAATGGAGAAACAAATCTAGGGGTGGCACCTAGATTGGTGCCACCTAGGAGGCACCCTCCTCCTTTCCCCATTCCCCGAGGTCTGAGCCAAAGAGGCTCCACTCCCTCTTACCGTCAGGCCACTGTGGGGACATGCCGCAGTGCAGCCTCATGACCATGGGTGCGAAAGCCATCTTGCCTTCCACGCAGTGCTTCCGGATGGAATCGATGATTCCAGCTGGGAAATGGATGTGGAGGTCGCACAGGAAAATGATGCTGTGTGGGTCCTGGAACCGACCACACCGGTTGGGAAAAAAATAGGTTGATTTTAAGTAAGACTTTCTTGAGGGAGGAGGGAAAAACATAGATATATGAGTGAATTTATGGTTTTGTGATCTGATCTAGGTGGTGCTGCTCAGGCAGGGGGATTGGACTAGATGATCCTTTGAGGTCCCTTCCAATCCCTGACATTCTGTGATTCTGTGAATTAAAGAGCCATCCGTTGCTACACCAGAAACAGCGATCCCAGGGGCTGGCAAAATGGCCATTGAGTGGCTGTTCAACGATGGCTGTGAAACACCATGACTATGACCTGGCAGAGCCAGTATCACAAAGCTGCTACTGCTCACGTCCCTCCTGTCTGCTCATCCCAGCAGGTGGACCAAGAACCAAACAGACCACAGGTTCCTCAGAATAAAGGGCGAGACCCTTGCTCTGGAGGGACAGGAAACACATCTACATTTGACGTGGTCTGCTAGGCTATTCCCTTCCCCAAAAAACAGTAGTGCCAGACATGTACTAGCAACTTCCCTGTCCACCCCAAAGGCTTACCGTCACGAGGTCTATCCCCGCCTGCAGCCCAGCAGAACGCTCGAAATTCCCCGTCAACTTCAAGTACCGATGGCTGGGGGGTCAGACAGGAAAGAGAAGTTCAGCGCGCGCTGGCGACCACCGAAAGCGCCGCCCACAGCCGTACGGCGCAGGAGTGCCGTGGAGCTGCCCTCACCCCCCGTCCACCCTCCCAAGGAGGAGGAAAGCCTTTGTTGCACCAGTGCACAAGCTCAGCGTTGCTCCAGGTCCCAGCGCGCCCTGAGGGTCTTCCTCCTTGCGCAGCAAGGATAGAGCAGTCCCTACCAAAAGTCTTTTCAGCTCTAGCCCTGCTCTATCCTAGGACTAGACCTGTTACCAGGAACCCCTGGAATGTAAAGGACATGACCAGCCAAGGCTGGTTTAGATCAGAGTAGAGTGAGCCAGCCAGTTGTTCCAGCAAGGGGAGTTCCCAGAGGTCTCCACGTTCCCTGCCTCATTTCTTACAGCTTGCTTGTGTTCTCTGTCCTCCTCCTGCCCTGTCACTGCCAGACTTGCTTTCTCCTCTCCCTTGTAAACTTTGAACAAAAGCCAGGAGAAAAGAGATGCACCTGGATGTAAGGTATTGCCTTACAGTTTTACACCACTATTATACGCAGTGTACATATAGGCACGTTATAACAACATAATCACGTCTACGTGTAAGCTCTGGACAGATGTTATTTTTGGGTTCCCAGCTGCAGGAGGCTGTGGCTGGTCAATACCCCGAGATTGGCAGACGTGCTGTGTCTGCAGGCATGTGCATGTCAGCAGTTTTTTGTGACCAAGCAGTACTGTCACCTGTGCAACGTCGATCTTTTCAGAGCCTTCTCTACATCCATGTCATCGCTGCTGTAGTCCGTGATGATGACGTTGAAGTACGGATCCTTAGTGACTCGGAACAGCTCTTCCATGTCGGAGATGAACTGTAGCACCCAACGTGCCTGGTTCTTCACTGGTTGTATTGCAAGAGGGAGAGAATCAAAGCAAAACTGACTTCAAAGACGGTGTGGCTTCTCAACCGACAAGGCTTCTTGCCTGCCCTCAAACCCTGCTAACCTTGCAGGGATGCTGAAATAGGCCCAGGCTGAAAACTTGGATCAAAGAGCCCAGGAATCGACGTGGGTTCTTTCCCAATGTGTGACAGGAGCTTCCTTTGAGCTCACAAGCCATGGGAGTTTGAGCCCTGTCATATTTCTGATGGGGGTTTAACTTGGGGAGAAGAGAAATTGGGAGTGACCCAAATAAGACGGTTGAGGCTGGCTGAGACCCACTGTTTGGGACTGTCCTCATGGGAAGCGCCCGCCGTGCCACCCCTCCATGTCCCGGGGAGGCAGGTCCCCCTTACCTGGCACCACGAAGTGAACCACAGCACGGTGGTTCCAGGAAAAGCCCTGGGGCCAGCACAGCTCTGGCTCGTTCGCCGCAGCCATCAGGTGCCGCCGGCGACCCCACGCCAGGTTCCTCATCTTCCTCTCCTCCTCGTCATCGCCGCCAACACCCTGCCAGCCCCGCGCAAAGACGTACTCGGAGAAACGGACGAGCCGCTCTCCCTGCTCCAGCAGCTCCAGCTCCAGTAGGTAGCGGCTGCCCCGCATGCGGTCCTGGCGTTTCTCCACGTTCACGATACGCTGCAGATGGAACCGCCTGCAGGAGACACAGCTGGGGTGGGCACGGCCCCGGGTGGGCACGGCCACTGTGCACCAGTCCCTCTCCCACTTCCAGCCCGTTCAGTCCTACCGGGCTCTTTCCTCCTGGCTAGCACAAACCTTTTTGTCCCAAGCTTCCCCCTGCTTTGCCACACTGCTTCCAAAGTCCCATGGGAAGGTTTAGCACCTGTTTCCTAAATCCACAAGCATGTGGGATTAGATCTGGGATTCCAGCCAAGACAAAATAGTTGGCAAGGGAAATGAAATAAAGGTGACACGGAGAATAACAAACATGTCTGAATGATTGTAGGGCTGGTAATAGTGAGTGTGTCCAACACCTCCCACAAGGATCTTGGCACAAGGAGCATGTTTGGGCTAGTCAAATTGGCTGATGACAGTTTATCAGCCCATAACATGGCGTAGGACTGAGCAATAACACAGTAAAAATCAGAGTGAGCAGTAGGTTCAGAATGGTCAAAACAGGATGAAACGCCAGGTCATGTCCTTTCAGATCATAACAAGAGTTTCTGCTGTAAAACAGACACTCATCAGTTAAAAATGCTGAGAAAAGCTCGCACCGTTACACCACGATTGTGACCGCTGTGGCCTGAAAAAACAGAAGAGATCTTAAGAGGCAGCATGAGAGCGACCTCCAGCAGGGATCTGGAAGTAGTAACACCCATTCCACAAAACATCCAGGATACTGGACATTTATGTACAGGAAAATGAACTCAAACTGAAACCAGCACGGAGAAGGACAGATAGGAAAACCATGGAAATAGAGGCCAAGTCAACAGAAGGGTCAGGAGTTGGATTGTTTGGCTTACAGAGGCTCAGAGGAGACACGTCTGTTCGCCACAAAGGCACTCAAGATGGTAAGTCTTGAGAAGAAACAGAACCGTATCAAGACCCTATAAAAACAGAGCACCAGCAAAAGCTGATCTCCGGTGGGTCATCAAAGAAGCAAGGGGCGGAAACATCTTCCCAAATCAGCACTGGGATCTAGAAATCCAGCTTGTTTTACTACGTAGGTGGACACATTCAGATAACAGCGTGGGGTATTTGGTTGTCTCTGAGACCAGTGCACATTATCGGATGGGTCCCTCCGGTCATATGTCCCAAGGGATTCACAAGCCGAGACGCGGCAGACATCCAACCACGAGCTTTGTGGTCCTACTTTGTACCAGCAGGGTTGCTTAATCTTCAGCTGGTAAAACACTCCCATGTGCTCTCAGTACCCACACTGTGCCAGGAGGAGGCCAGCGAAAGGTCAGTGATGCCAGCTGGACAGAAACCTCTAATCTTTCCCATTCACTACCACCAGCTGTTGGAGGATGATATTCAGCCTCCAGACATGGTCTGGTGTCCAACAATTCCCATTTCTCAGCCAAAAGAGGTATTTAAAAGCCAGGTTTTTACACAGATTCCTTGCCTGAAGTCTTATTTCCCATATTTAGTTTATCCTCTGATTCCCACTAGCTCTTTACACGACTGGTATTCCCTGTGCAGCATGCTACATCAGCTCTGGGATGATGCCCTTGGGGTTTTTACATCGTGCCTTACCCTTTACTCCTCTGGTTGAGCTTTTTCAGGAAGACACGTGTGACTTCCAGGGCCTCCCTTTCTCTTAGCAGCAGGTTTCCTGATGTGTTGCACTTCAGGTCGATCCAGTCCGTGCGCAGCATATGGAAGTCCAGGTTGCTCGTGCTGAAGGTCTGCTCCCAGTTCACCGCCTGGTCAAACACTGGTACGTAATCAAAATCCTCCTCGTCTTCCTCTTCTGGCTCCCCATCTGCCTCTTCCTCTTCCGCTGCCACAGGTCCAGACTTGCCCTTCGCAGGAGATGCCAGCTGCGCCTCTCCCTCACCCACATCCCCACCGTTGGCCGCCTTCTGCTCAGCAATGTAGGACTCCACTTGGCTGAGCCACTGCGGCAGCCCGGGCGGCCGGCCGGGGCTGGCAGCGCTCACACCACGTCTCCTGGCTTTCCCAGACACCGAGTCTCCTTTCCCGGCTGGCACAGTGCCTGCTGGCTGTGGCCTGTCCTTAGTGGCACTGAGGTCTCCTCGAGGTCTCACCCCTTTGGGAATCATGCCCCCCGAGTCTCTGGGGCCACCCAGAGGCTGGTGCCCTTGGGACCCCGGCCCCG